TTCATAATTGTTCTTTTCATATTTGTTAGATGCTTCAATGACTGCCGTTAATTGAGTCTAACAAAATGAGTTAAGCGTCTTTTTGCGTACAGTAAAAGGTCGATTACTCCCTAYCTATATCCCATCTATCAGTCTCTCTCTTTGAGTCCCAAGTTTCATAATAAGAGTATTAATTATTTGTCCAGAGWGGACCTTAATGAAGTTTTTAGGCACATTGGACATAAGACGCTTAAAACTTATCTCTATTCCATGCACCAACGAATGGCTTTGTTAGGTTAGCAGGTTTCTTGGATTTGATAATTATTTAATTTTTGGTCCAAGTAAAATAATTTTCTGTCGAGCCGACAATATTAAGTTGAGCGAAAATCCTGGACCGCTTTTTTCCAGTCCAACCATTATCTTGGTGAGTGAGTTCAGTATTATTGATCGTAAAAGCGTTGATTTCGGTGTTTCAATCGAGTTTAGGCACGGTTGATTTGAAGTTTATWCTTAAATGTCACCAGGTTGATGAAAAAGTCAAAGCTTTTTTAGATAGTGACATTTGGTTTCGAATTTTGGAATAGCGTTACYACTAGGCAATAATTTGTTGCACATTTTGTTGGAGAGATTATTCTGATTCTGCTCATTGTTCAGACTGATAATTTCTGCTATTCTAAGTCACGATTAAAGTTTCTTGTATTGAGTTGTTGTTTTACGATTCATGAATATWTGTTTTAGTAACAAATTTGATAGATCGAGCTAACCTAACTAATGCTTASAAGTTAGAGCTTTTTAAAGCTTTGATVTTATAAGACTGAAGCTTTCAAAATTGTTGATATCGGATTACTATAGCATATAGCTTCCATACAAACGGTGCAGCCGAAGTTAGCGTTTTTCATGTTTTGGATTGAATTTATCATCACTTTTATCGCCGTATATGATGAGCTTTCTTTAGGGTTCATAAAGCTTTCAGCTTTTTTTCTTCAATGCTTGGGAACTTAAGTGGTACTTGTATAACATAATAAATTAATAATTTAGCTACATCAATTTTGGCTGAAATATATATACACTTGTGACAATTCTCGTATCTCACTATCATTATACAAAGCCTATACTCGTATAACTAATATTTTAAAATATGTTTAAGAGTAAAATATTTATTACAATTTTAATTAACAAATTTTACTGCTTTGGCTAAATACCAGCAAGCTCATAATTTAAATTGCGAAACAAAAACTAAAAAACTGCCAAACTATAACGGCACGTGACTAGGGTTTGGCATTGAGTTTGAATTGCAGCTCAGTGGCGTAAGCTATTCATTATGCAACAGAGCGTTCTTCTATTTGAGTTTGAGTCTCACACTCCACTGAGCGCTGACTTTACTTCGCGCTGCTTGTACTGCTATGCGACAAGCAACTCCGCTCAGAATGAGCACGAAATTATATCATTTCAATTAATTTTAGTTRAAATGCATTTCATTTATTTCGAATGTTATTTCACGTGCCTTGCTTTGCAAGTAAGCCAAGGCTTGGGTACTTTAATTGTTTTTTCGAGGCGTGAGTGGGTGACTTTCTTTGTGTGTATTTGTTCATTTATTTCTCTTTTATAAAGTTGCACGCAAAAATTTTGCCAGTTTACGCGTTGTGCATATCCTTAAGTCGATTTTTCGCTCTCCTCCTCTCCTGCACACGCTCTGTATAGCTAAACAAGTAATCTCCTTAAAATGGCTAACAACATGCGACCCCAACGCTGATACCCTCATTAGTAGCGTAATTTGTCGCTTAGTTTGGTGCGAGGACATTTGAGTTTGTTTTGAGTGGTCGAAAGYGTGGAGGTAAAACCTAAAAAGTTTGCTATAATTATAGCGCTATTTTTTTTTTTTATTAAGTTTTTTGCCACTTCAAGCCAACGCGTTCTGCTGCGACTAACATTTTTTTCAATAAATTTTTACCTAAACTTTTTTTGGCATTATTTTACATAAGATCCTACGCTCACAATGCTCGTTTGTTATTTAGCTTTAACTTCCTCCTGCACTTACCAGCGCTATCCTGCTTCCTTTAAATTTTAATTAATATTTACAGTGGCTCGAGTGCCACTTGTACCCGTTAGTTCCCACGTCGCCTTCTTCCGACATTCATTAGTTCATACTGCCTTTCTTCTTCTTCATTTTTTTTTTTTTTGTTTTCTTTTTTCATATTTCCACTTGACTATCATATCTTTATGTTTTGCTTGCGTATTTATACTCATCTCATCGCGTTTTTCCTCCCTCAAATTGTTTTTGGACAAATATTTGTTTATAATTAACAGGGCTAAATGGCAGCAGCTTGTCTGGGTGGAGTGTGAAATTGGGAGTTTTGTTGCCTTCCACAATGTATTTACATATATATGTGAGTTTGTATGTGTGTGGTAGTGTCTTGAGTCTTGTAAGCAGATTTATGCGTTGAGTGAAAGTGACAATCCTTTTTGGCGTAAATCTAATTAGCGTTGAAAGCGCGCTTGGCAACCCTAAGCTATCATTAGACACTGTCAATGAGCGCAATTTTTTATTGTTGTTTGTCCGGTCAAGCAGATGCTTAGGTTATATTTTTCAGTTGTTGGGTTGGCTTGCTTCTCTAAACAAGATTGAGTGAGYCATTAGTTATTGTGTTCAGTTGAAAAAAGTTACAATTATGAGCACAAATTTGGGTAAGGAAAAAGAGAATAAATTTAAGCTTAAGAAATTTTAGTGGTCGGAAGAGATTTTTATCGATAACCTCGTGGCTTTTTACATTCTGCATAAACTTTGTTATTTTCTGTTTTAAAGTCTTTTGAGTTTTCCTAACTAAATATAAAAACGTAATCACGAGTAAGGAATGCTGAAGTTCGGTTAAAATTAATAACAGAGGCCTAATTTTTTTTTTTTTTGGCGACCTGAGTGTTCCTTACAATTTCGTCGATTTTTAGTGTCAACTCAACTTGCATGATTTGAAACTTTCCACATAATCTTCACAAAGTATCTGACACCGTAGCGATTATATAWAAATTAGATAGAAAACCGGATCATAAATCGCTCATTGTTTCCATGACAGTCGATTTTTTCGGAAACGGCACATAATTTGATCTAACGAAGGTTGCATTCTACCAAAACATTCCTATTTTGTATTATTAAATCATCTTCTTTATATATAAAAAGTACTTGTCACGTAGTTTGTCCGCGATGGRCTGCTAAACCGATTTCAGTAAAATTTAGCACACTGTGTCCAACTCGAACCAACTTAGAAGATAGGATAGTTAAAACAATTCATAAATTAGTAATACAGTGAAAGCTCCATTATGCTGACAACTCTGGGAATCTTTCGAGAACTTCTTCTGCAGTGACTTCAATGTCATGATGCTTGTGCAGACACGCCAGGCCGATCAATCTATCTTAAAGCATGTTTGTCTTCAGCCAAGTTTTCATGCGGCAAAGTGTTAAAAAGAGCATTCAGAGCTCACATACGTCGCAAGAAGTATAATGAAGAAGTATATAAAACTATGAATTATGGAGTATAGCTCTAACTCGCAGTTCTTCAACGTTTCCAATGTAGTCAGTAATTTGTTGCCTTTCGACTTTTACTTCTGCCCCCAATGGCACTGTCAGTGTTCAAGTTCACCTTTGAGCTTCAAACGTCGCACGACGTTGTCATTRTCCTAAAGGCCTTTGAATCAGATTTTCCTGGAAGCAGTAATCTCAGTTGAAATCCATCCAATACTTCCCTAGAAAAGCGCGTCTTTAAATCTTCGCCGATTGTATCCAACAGAAGAATGTGCACTAAAACCCTGTATTATTCTTCGAAAGCTCTCGCACAGAAATTTTCACGTTTTGTTTGTCGGCCACAGATTCCTTTTTTTCTTCGTCAACTTTCAGTTCTGCCACCATTTTTTTCATGTCTCAATAAATGGATCGAAAATATTCTTCAGCTTTTTGTCTTCGATTTTGGAACGTTACAAGCAGCGTTTCTATCATATTGATTTCACATTAATTCCTCTGCCAGAACGATCGAATCGATTTCTGAAGACTCACGCTGAGTGAATGAGATGGAGATATAATATCACATTGGCAAATTATCCCAATTATCAGTTGAAATTCGTACACGGCTGCGATGAGTATCGTTGCTTTAGTACCTGGGGGGTGGAAATTTCCCCYATTTCCTCCCTCTGAATCCGTATTATGAAATAACACCGCAAATCTCTTAAAATCAATTGATCGCCTTGTAATTTTTATACAAAAGTTTTTATAAACKGGTATAAATAGCTGAAGTCGCTGGAACTGAAAACCACACCGAGAAATGCTTTTCAGGAAGTACTTGCATGAGGGTCAAGGTTGAGAGAAAACAAAAAGTAAATTTTTATTTCAGAATGTACTACGGGCATAAGCTGACTAATTAATGTTTTTATATGCATATCTTACCCRTAATTAATTTATGCGTATCAAAGAAATTCAAGGAATATTTCCAAATTATTTTTATTCATATGAAGACTAGAATTGAAGTTAAGTGACCCCTTTAATTTGATTTAATAAAACGAAATCAGCACAAGCAATCACCCGGCAGTGACAGCAGACCCTCACACAACCGCTAACCATCCATCGAARAGGCGAACGATAGCTACGTGCCTGCACACTGAGTGTCCTGAGTGTCGAGACCCAATTGAGCGCTGCCACAAATTCAACCAGTAATGCATTTCCGCAAAGACTTCACTTAAACTTTCACTTCATTTAATCTAATTTTGAAATTACTTAACCAAAGATAAGCCGAATTTAATGCATATATCCTGCCGTTTATGGCTACCACAATAAAAGCAGCAATAACAATGGCACAAACTACTATTTAACAAGAAAATAACTACCAAGCAGACAATAGTGTGTGTGTGTGTGTGCGAGTGTATGGGTGTGTTTGTATGCATAAAAATTGCAAGCGCAAATATGCTGGCGAGCACGCCTTTCACACAGCCACGCACGCGCACACATACATGCATGGTATGTAACAGTAAATTTTAATTACCTCCTCGTGATGATACCAGAAAATGTAGGCCGGCGGCTCTGGGCTGAATTTCACTGTGCATGTAAGATTTATGGTGCTGCCTTTGTCGACATGAAGGTCGGGTCCGCCAAGGATGGTCGCTGTTGGCACTGCACAAACACACGCACCGGCACACATACACAGGCGCGCGCGTAGTTGGTAAGTAAGTAGCCAGCACACGCAGTTGAGCAAAACGAAGACAAAGACAAAGATGACCGCAGCAGTTGGCAGTGGCGTCGTAGTAGTAGTAGCAAGTTGCGGTGTTGGCCGGGGCGTATGAGTGACCGACCGGTGTTGGTTTGTTTAGTAAATTGTGGGCGGCGAGTTGGTTGACCGCCAGTGACACCAGAGCACAGTTGTGGTTATGACATACAAATAGAAGAGAAAGAGAGAGTGACGAGAGAGGGTGAGTGTTAGAGAGTGAGCAGCATTATATTACAAACTGACATACAAACAAATATTAGCGCGGCATTACCACGCGCTTTGCTGCGTAAGTTGAGTAGTTAGCGCATGAATGTGAAAACTAAAAAAGTTTTAAGCATGTAATTTATGCGCAAATGAAACGCAATCAGAAGTTATGTTGAAATAAAATTATTGGCCAAATGGCGGGAAGTTTGGGTATAAAACTATGCTTTCAWGGCGCAAAGGATGAGCTGTTAAAGAGAAGTTATGGCGCGGGAATGTGATGTAAATGGCCGCGAATAGTGTGCAAATGTATGACAATGAGCATTGAGTTGGCGTGTGATGTGAAACGACACTTCATTTATTAAAAGCACGCAGCGTATGCGGTGCTTTATGTGTGTGTGCGCTCATTCGCTGTAAACACTAATGAATGCACATGCGGCTGTTGGGCTTTTTCATCAACTTGCGCCCATATGTACTTACCCACAACGTTGAGCCGCACAAAGTAGCTGCGCACCGGCTGCGTTGATATTTGGCACTCGTACATGCCAGCGTCGCGTTTCTGCGCCCATTTTATTTGCAGCGTCCAGTCGTCGCTGTCCTGATGATGTGTCGCCTGGAAACGCTGATCTGACGTGTACGTGTACGCGCCCACGGTGAGTATGTGTATGTCACGATGGCGTATCCATGAGACCTATGCGTGTTGGTGGAGAGAGAATAAAATCATTAATGAGTTTAAGGGCATATGTGTATGTGTATTGATGGCTTTTTTTATGTATTTAAATAAGTTTTTAAAAAGAAGTGTGCGTTTGTGCCGCTTGACTACAAATTTTGTAATAGTATTGTACGCTCGCAAAGGCTGACATTTGCTATGTAATGCAAAAATATGCATTTGTGTGTTACATGCATAAGTATATAATTGAGCTGCAGGCAACTTTGGTTTTTGCAAAAGTAATAAAAATTTTTAATTATTATTTCTTTTTAAATGCACCGTAACTATAACAATCTTCACAGCTGCATTTTTATGGTATGAAGGGTATAAAAATTTATTGAATCGGTCAGTTTGAATGGCAGTTGTACGATATTTTTGCAAATGTTTAGCCTCACCTTGGACAATGAATCTTGTACGTGTATACAAAATTTCTAATCGAAATATCAAAACTGAAGGACTAAATCCCGTATAATACAGTCTAATGGATAGACCGAAAAATAAGCTTTGTGAAGTCTACTCAGCTCATCATGCTGATTACTTATAAACCAATTAGGTTCTCTGACGTTTCTGACTTGATGTTACAGACTTATGGACAAACTAAATTTAGCCTGTTCAGGGTATAAAAATTCTGACAAAATTTTTCATATTCATATTCAAACAAAGTTGTTCAAAAAGCTTTGGCGATTGATTCAAAATACACTTTATTATTCAGTATAATTTCCCCGAACAATAATGCACTTGATCCAACGATCATAAAATCTGTGGAACCCATCCCTGAGGCGAGAATTCGTAGGGTCTGCAAAATACGCTTCAACAGCCATTATGACCTCTTCATTTGATGAAAAACGCTTGTCACGCATACATTTTTTGAGTTGTGGGAATAAATTGAAGTTGCTGGGGGCAAAATCTGGTGAATATAGTGGATGCTCCAACAATTCGCACTTTAATTCATGAATTTTAAATATTGTGACACGGAAAAAGGACTTTTTCTTCTGCAAACCGGGTAATTTTTCACGAATTTTTTCCTTCAACTGGTCCGAAAGGTTGCAATAATATTCATAATTCAAGGTTTTACCAGTTTACAAGAAATCCGCAGACAAAACTCTTCTAGCATCCCAAAAAACTGATGCCATAACGTTCTTGGCCAGTTTTTCGGACACGAACCGCATACCACACTTTAGCCGCTTGTTTTGATTCAGGATTGTGGTGGTAGACCCAAGTCTCATAAATAGTAATGAATCGATGCACAAAATCTACTTTATTCTTTTTAAAACGCTCCAAATGTTTCTGATAAAGTCGTATCCCAATGCCCTTTTGTTCCATTGTTAGCGAAAACGGCAYCCATTGTGCACACAGCTTTCTAAAAGCCAAACTTTTACTTAAGATATGGCTCACATTGCCTAACGAGATGTTTAGAGCCTATACTAAATCTCTCTGAGTCAATCGACGATCTTCCAAAACCATATCCCAAAATTTGGCTATGATTTCTGGTGTTGATGCGCTTTTTGGACGACTTTCATGTAGATTGTCTTCAAAGCTTATATGACCACGTTTAAATTCAGCAACCCATATTTTTTTTGTTCCAATTATAGATGAACAATCACTAAACACTTTTAATATTCATTCGTTAATTTATTTTGGTGCTACACCTTCCAAAAATAAGAATTTTATCACTTCATGAAAATTTTATTCGATTCTTGGCACTGGTGCTAGCAATATGGGTCAAATTAATTTTAAATAAATAAACATTTCGTTCATCGAATTCGTTCATGCAAAAGAATTCATACAGGCCATTTGAAAGATGTTGTATACTTCACATTAGAGAAAGAGACATTTGAATTTCCTTAGCAATTTTTTTTTTTTTTTTGTTGGAGAACCCTGTATGTCTGTCCATACGGACTTTTTGAACGCAAAGTTTAGTTAGAGGCTAAGGTTTTTTCCGTCAATTAAAAATCACATTTTTGTCTCCCCTCACTGTATTCTACGAAAAAGTTTTGCTTATGGAAACCCGAAAGGACTATTCTTTAGCCGAATTCGAAGTCATTTTAGGCTTGTGGCTCAACAAAGCTTTCTAGCGGGTTAAAATATCTTACAGCTAGTTACTGACACAGTCTGGACCGAAAACTAACTGTGAAATCAAAGGAGAATTTTCTTTCTGCTTCAGGCAGCTTTCTGAACTTTTACAGAAAGTTGCTGAAGCCTTTTCACATTAATAAACATCCAAGAGGAAGCCGGAATTCGTCAACGTTTATATAATCGAAAAATGTAAAAAAAACAGTGAAAATCGTCTTATTGGCATCAGAGGGATTAACAACAACATGCCCAACATGTTTTAGGTATAGTTTTGGGTAAAGTTTTGGGTATAGTTTTGGGTAAAGTTTTGGTTATAGTTTTGATATAGTTTTGGTATGATTTTGGATATATTATTTTGAACGTAGAGGAGAGGTAGCAAAACATATTCTTGACAACCTACTTCCCCTACTACATTTATCATATGCATATCTGGTGACGAGACTTGGATTTATGAAAATGACGTCAAAAACTCACCAACAATCAAGGCACTGTAGATCAACGCAACTGGCGCATACAAAAAAGTGGAAGTAAAATTGGTTAAAGCATTGATTTCGGTGCCATTTTTGAAAGCCTTAATTTGATGAGATGGTGTACAAACTCACGCAAGCTGTACCATATCAACCATTGTAGCCTTACCTCATGTCAATTCAAAAACTGAAGCGCATAGAAAACTCTTTTGTTTTCTTCCTCAAATGGAAAGGTAGTAATTAGATATTGCATTTAAGTAGCACATACACATCTAAATGCAATTTCCATTTCCTCAGCAGTTATTCAATTTTTTTATTATTATTTTTCACATTGGCATAATCAATGCCAAATGTCACTTGCCGGCAATATCATTCAGTTTAGCCTCTCTACAGTGCTACTACGCTCTTGACTGACGTGCACTTCTTTCCGAACCGCATCGCTCACCGCGTCAGCAGCTGAAGCCGAAGCCAAAGCAATTACATTTGCAGACACACGGAATGCGAATATCACATTAAAACTAAGGAGAAAATGTGCCACGAATTTCAAGTGAGTGCTTTCTTTCCAACATGTTATGCGCGGAGCGAGCAAAAAAAAAGAACAACAAACACTAGCAAATRCAACAATTAGAGGCATTACAATGAGCTTGCCACAGCTGAAASGAAATACTGTGTGTAATGTGAAACTGTAATTTTCACGGTTGCACAAAAAACGAAGAATCAAGCAAAAAAATAGAGCAAATAACAGCGAAAAGGAAATTCTCTTGCAATTGTTTTTGTTGTGCCACACTCATACGAATTTCAACTTGTGCACTTATGTGTGTRTGTGCGTGCGTCACGYATACTACTTTAATTGTTGGCAAAGAAATGTGCGCTATTTCAATTGAGCGCGCATTGTTGTTGGTGTCGGTGKTATTGCTGTTKTTGTAGACATGATAATTCACACATTGCCCCGCCTGAGGATAYGCTATGCCGCTTGTTGTTGTCACTAGTGTAACATACTTTTTGCTGCACCTTCTTCTTATCTCCCTTTTTTTGCGCTCTCTTCCTCTTCCCGTTTCTCTATCTCGTTTTTTGCAATTTTTTCAATAACATACGCCTCGCGTGTTTCTCGCTTGATGTCATTATTGCTAGCTGGCGCGTGTGTTGCGCTTCACGCTTTACTAAAACGCTGGCATTTGCGGTTCACGCGCGCCTAGAAGTAGGCAACATAATATGGCTATGCAAACGTCTTGCACATATGAGCGCTCCCAAGTGTGGRTATATCTGAGTGTGGGTGTGACATTTTCCGCATTCGTGTGAACTACACGCTTTTATAGCTATGTGTGCTCTTCATAGCGTCGTCGTTTTTCATTTAGTGCGGATTAAAACTCTGCTTGGCTGCAGCTCACCTCACAGTGCGTAGTACATGTCAGCAGAGGACTTAGAAAGTTTCCCAGTTCGTAAATTAAAACATATTGGATATCATTAAGTATATTCATTAAGGCGGATTARTAGAAGCATACTTTATATAAGTCAGAATTATCTAATTTTTGGCAAATTACAACTTTGGGGACTGTTTTCAAAAGGTGTAAACAAACTTACTTGAATATCTGTAGAGTAATTTGGGTATTCGAAATTTTTATAAAAATTTTATGATACTTTTGTTGTTTAGTGATTCGTTATTATAAAGTTAGTGAGTTCAGACCCTGTCTAATAAGTACGTTTGTTTTTTGAAATCGTCTGGAAGAAGAGAAGGAAAAAATAATTCGAGACTTTCTCTTTCAGTGGACAGCATCAACTAGAAGGAGATACAAACAGCCTCTATTTCATAATTTTTGTCAACCGAGGGAACTGGAGGGATTCATAAAAAGCCGCCTTAACGAATTTGTGTTAGGTCCAAGGTCTACTATTCTCCACACGAAAGGTTTCGACTTTGCAAAAGRACCACATTGGTYCATGTGTGATTTCCTCRGGWTCTACATAGAAGCGATTATCACGAAACTTAACCTACTAAGCTATGTTTTCAAACGTTTTAGTCCTGATCACTACCATGGTTTTGAGCTTCGCTTAGTGAATACCGAAACCAACCCCAAAAGCATGGTGAATATTTAAACTTGGAGGTATCGTCAGAATGAAGATATAATGCATGGTAATGACTCATTTTGGTTTCAGCTCCAAATAATTTCGGGAAAAGTAATAAAAGAACGGAAACTTATATTAAAATCCACATTTCTTGGCTGTACACAAAAAAACGATTCTAAAAGATATATTTGAATCAATATCATGGCATTAAGGAAAAGTTCTTCACATAATGATATAAGAGTTGAGTATGTATTGCAGCAGATTCAGTATGAGATGCAGGGAATTATTATTATTTTCTATTACTAAAGAGCTGAGATTAAGATGACAAATTAGCAAACTTCAACGCTTGAATCTATAAATATTTTACTTGTGAAAGAGTGTTTGAGCATTCGTGAATATTATCTCAAAGATATGTAAGTGAAATAATGATTCAATCTATAAGAAAAGCAAGATAGAATTCTTGAATATGACTGATTTTGTCATCAGTAGAAGGAAGTAATAAGGTAGGTGAATAAGAGCAATTCTTCCAAATTTTAACTCATTCACTCTTCCAGTTATCCATGCACTTTCCAACTACTCCTAGATTTGCTTTTACTCGTTGAACTTTGTACGAAATATTCCACCGATTTATTAGTTTTTACCTCTGAAAATCCATTATTCGCTGCAGTGTGTACTCGTTCGCTGAAAATCCAAATGCTGAGGAAACAAAAATTGGAAACGCTGCGCTTCTAAATCGTGATTTTTGGAACAAGTTGCCATTTGACACATCCGTGCTGCGCAGAAATGTCAATATAAAGCAACAAATATTGAGTGCAGGCGAACACCCATCAAACCAATGAATGCGAGTCYCAGACAAATAAAATGCATTTTTAACTGATTATTTGATTTATAGTTCTTGATCGCTTTATTAGATAATAAAGAAATATGTATGCTCACAAGGTTTGCACATCTCAAAAAGTCAAAAATTATTTGAAAGGTTGCTAAAGAAATGACAATGCTGAAGCGATGAAGCCTACAAAAGTGTTTCGTCAAAATTGAAAGTGAAGCGAATCGATCAAGCAACTGCTATAAATCAAATAGGCTGGTCCAGTCAAATGAGAATGGATTCGCATGTGATTCTTTTTCATTATAATGAAATATCACTTACACTTTCTATTGAATTCTGCTGGACAACTTCATAACACTTTAATAAGAGACTTTATCAAATGAGCCAGACGTGGTTCACCAATTATCGTCTAAGAATACAAGAAATCTTAATTAAATTAATTATTTTCCTGTTATGTAACTGTTTAAAAATCATTTAGCGTAGCTCCGATTAATGGTTTATTGGGCGTCACTGTTCTCTGAAAAAAGTTGCCAGCAATGGCTGCTGTATTACAAAGGATGGAATGCGCTTCGGTATTTATTTTTCGTAGAAAGCGCAACAAAGTATTTGTGCTTTCTGGTTTTTATTATAATCCAGTAGACAAAGGTATGGTTTCAACATGCATGATAAATGGGTAAAAATTCAAACTGTAATAAGTCGAATGTATAAACTCGTTAACTACTAAAGTTATTCGAATCAAACTCTAATTATACGTTTTTTTCTTCAATATAGGACGATAATTACGCTCATTAAACTTGACTACATAAAACTACTCAATGTTCGAAAGATGTCCAAGTGACGGCGGCGAAAATTTTTAAAATTTAACCACAAGTGTGATTTGGTAGGCCTACGTTTTAAACAGTTTAAAAGCATAAACCATATAAATCGGTTATGATATTAGGTTTTCCTAGATATACCGGGCACTAGTGTTTGAAATCAATGAAATTGTCTTCTATCTTGTCTGATATACCCAATATTATAAACTCTGTGGCTTGAATTTATTCCAAATTTCAATGTTTTTCCAAGAAAGCACTTAACATCAATGTCTCACTTGCTTTTAAACTTTTTACCAGAAATATTTTTCTAAATAATTTTCCTACAAACTGTACCAAAAACAGTTACTTTAAGAGTACTACCAACTTAGTTTCTAAATTTGCAGTTGAGAGACAAGTAACTGCAAACACTTGTTGGAATTTCAACCACAGGCTGAGTTCAATTACTAAACATCGAACAAATGTGTGCGCACAGTTGAGTGACTTGATATATGTGTGTGTATGCTTGTTTGTTATGAGTGTGCATTGCCGTTTACGGTTAAGTACTTACCGTTTTGTTGCCCAAATTGCGTACGCGGCAACTCAAATACGCCGATTTGCCCATTAATGCGGTGACATTGCGCGGCGTCGACGGATCAAAGTACGGCTCAATCCACTTCGGATGTACGTAGCCAACCGTGGTGGGTGGATATTGTGTTGTGCTCAATGCRTGCAAATGCTCCTCCAGTGAATTGTAACTCTCCATAGGTCCTTGAACGCCACCATTTGTCATATCTTTTTTGGTGGAGCGAAAATGCGAAAAATACCGAGAGGGGAGAGAAGAKAAAAAAACAAAAACATATATGAGGAAAATTGAAATTTTCAGCTATTGTGTTGAGTATTTTACATATTTATCAAAAGCATGTGTATATATGTGGGAGCGAAAGATTATTTTAGCTATACAGGTACAGAGGAACATATAGGTTCTCTAATTCGATACACCATAATACATAAAAATGTGACATTTTGCGCACCAAACGAAAAGTTTGAGATTTACATATATTATAGGAGTGTTGCCACCGTTTAGAAAATTTGCATTTAATAAAAATTAATGAAGTAAACAAGGGATACAAAATTACGCATTCCCAAAAAGGTGTTGCCACCCGTCTGACATTTTTTTCCTAAGTATTGTTGTTGCTAAGAATTTACTTTGAGTAAAAGAAATATATAGATTAGAGTTTAAAGTATACTATCGATACGGAACTGAAGTGTGAAGTACTGCTGCCACCTGTTTGAGTTTGTCATTGCAACAAAAATAAATAAAATAAACAAACTAAGATTTTATGAACAAAAACTAAAATAATTTAAGAAATGTTTCGTTCGAAAATATTTATGTATGTATGTTGAAAAAGGATTGCCACCTGGTTTAAATTTGGTTCATAATTTAATAATATGTAGGAGAAATGTATTAAGCAGAAGTAAAATAGCTTATAGCTATTGAGCTGAAAAGTGAAGGAGTGTTGCCACCTGTTTGAACCAAACGTGATAAAATGGACAGATTAAGATTATGGATGATAACTGGATCGTTCAAAAATATTTATGTATGCATGTTGAAAAGGTATTGCCAACTGGTTCGCTCTAGTTAAGAATTTAATTTTGGGTAAAAGAAATATATTACAAAGAATTAAAATATACATATAATAGTATTGAACTGAAGAGTGAAGAAGTGTTGCCACCTGTTTGAATAATTCAACTTAGCAAAAATGGTTTAAAAACTTTCCTTCAAAATATTGATTACTTTCTTTAAAAAGTGTTGCCACCTGGTTAAAATTTAGTTGGAACAGAGGAAAAATATATTATCGTATTGAGCAAAAAAGTGAAGGCGTGTTGCCACCTGTTTGAATATATTAATTTAGAAAAAATTTCTAAAATAAACACACTAATGCCTCAGTGTGAATGAAATCTAAATAGATTTCAAAAATATTTCTTTCGAAAAGATCTATTATATATAAATATTTTTATAAAAAATATTGCCCCCTTGTTAAAATTTATTGTATTATCATTCTCCCTAAATACAGAATAGAATAAATTTAATTTCTTTCTCTTTCATTTCACTTACATCATTACTTTTCCAATCGAAGTGGCAGTCATTGAAAACTAATTGATTTTGATGGYAGCTAGTTTTAGCAAATATTTCCACTTACTTGCTTCTGCTTCTGTGTACTCGAATATATGTATACTTGTATATATTTATRTATATGTGTTCGTTCAGACACTGAAAAGTGACTTGAAAGCAAACACTTGTAATGAATTCTACTTCAAATTAAAGAAGAGTCAGAGGGCGCTATGCTCGCAAAATACAAAAGAGATCCCTGTTTTTGCAACGTGCAATGAATGAGCAATGCAGAGGCGGTACGAGGGCGGTGCAATTGCAGCTCAGTCGCTTCTAAAACAGTAGCAAAAGCGCGCACACCGCGCTGCATTATATGAGTGGTAAGCACTTCCCACTGAAATTTCAAATGCTGCCAGCGATTCTATTGTGTGCGCTTTCAAATCCCAACAAACTGCAACATGGACGTATGCATGTATGCATGCGCGTGCAAGTATTATCAGAGCGCCTCTTACACGCGCTTTGCGGTTGTTTTGCACATTTCGTGCTGCTGTTTGCACTTTACTTGCATTACCACGCACTTTTTCACGCCTTTACCTCCAAACAAAGGAACTTTTAAAATTTCAATCTTTTCTATTTCCATTTTTATTTTTATTTCTACTCTCTGCCATATCCTTCCGGYGACAGCGTGAGGAGGATGCACGAGTAGTGAAAATTTCAAATGTGCGGCAAGTAGTATATATACATGTGTGTGTGTGTGTCCGCTTTCCTTATGTAAGAAGTCCTATATAAGGATGTGTGTGAAAAACACTCTCTTGCCCGCCGCAAATCTACTGACGTCTGTGCATGCTTGACGCTGCCTCTGCCGCATTCGCATAACTGCATTACAGCTGGAACGTCTTAACAATGCGAGCATAAACATGATATGAGCCACAAGCTTTAGTGCAAAAAGGGAATTTTTGTTCAAATTCATCAGCACGCACCGAAATAAAGTTCATCTTCCGTTAGGGTGTTATGTCATGCATGCATTTGCAAAAACACACACACACGCATACTAGTGTTATTATGCTTACACATGCATACGCTATATAAGCTAGACCCTTTATATGCACGTCCATTATTGCACAGTTTGCAAACACATACATACATATACATATATATATATATATCTATAAAATGGTAAGAAAATGTGCACTTGCACTTAAACTGAAAGTATTCACTTTCATCAAATGTCGAATTTGGTATTTCGTCTCATTTTAGTGTTGGCATTAAAGTCGAAATGCGGTATCGATTATTGCTCAAAGCATTTGAGTACAGAATATACTAGTATACTAGTCCTATCAAGTCTTCAGATACTGCATATATTTTCTTGAAAAAATGTTTACTTCTTCACACCTTTCAATGGTATCAGTTATAAATATTGTTATATAAAAAATAAAGTAATTTTTTTGTAACAACAAATTTACACGCAACTATAATAAATTCTGTAAAAAATATGTAACTTATGTCGATTTTGTATTACTAATATACATATTTATTAATATAGTTACTTTGGTTTATTATTTTGGAGTGCGACTTGGCTAAATTGTACACCTGAGCCAAAATGTAGGCAACGTTTTGTTATTATATTTCGAAATACACGCAAATTTTAAAAATATATTTTTTAGTAAGTATTCGAAGATTTTTTCTCACCGATAAATATTTTTTTATAAACAATCTAAGGCTGAAAATTTGGTCGAAATTCGATTTGTTTTTTCAGATACAACGATTTTGTCAAAAAATTTTATTTTCCAGTTCAGATAGTGGTCATCGCAAAAAGTCTCTTTTGGGGGCAGCTCCCGGAGATCAGTTGAACTTCCTTTCCAAATAAAAATTTTTACTAACACTAAGTTTTAAAATACAGTTAAAAGATACCTTAAAATGTGCACAAGTTTTTGGATCAAAAATTGTGAAACTTTTCTCAGAAAAAATTCTGGAAAATTCGCTTTTTGCGGCCTTCTAATTGTATACGATTATAACCGCTTAAACCAAGTTTGGTATAGTATTCGAACCCACAAACTAATTATAATGAACATTAAAAACAGCAGAAAAATTTTTACTTCAAATTCAAATTTTTCATATACTATTTAATCTCTTTTTATAAGTTTTGTCGATATCCTGACAAATTTTGAAACAAATAAAACTTAATTGTTAATGAAATTKCCACGGTAATAATGAAGATGAGACTTGTGGCATACAATTTTTTTATTGAAGTCCTAAAAACTAATATATCGGTACCGATATCTTATTAGAAACATCACAAATGACCACATTTTCCAAATACAAAAACGTAAAACAGAAATATTATTTTTAGTACAGAAGTATGGTACCTATCTCATCAAGCCGTTTCTGCGGACCATTCGAAAATTTCAACAGGGTGGTTCGGAAAATTTGAATGATTGCCAATAGTTCTGCGGAAAAAATATCGAATTTATAGATATTTATTTTAGAAATGAGTACATCTTTTGCAAGCTTTTACAAACACCTACAGCGATAAACTATTTATTCATAATTAGTACCCAGTCTTAGTTTAAAATATAATTGCAAACCGGTTTTGGGTGCAAGGAAATTGTATGAGTAGCCAAGTCGAATGATTGAAGGATAGATTAAAATAGAACTCGAGAAGATTGAAATCAGTTTCGAAGATTGTTACATAACACAATATCCAAATGTGGTATCTCCAACATAATATGGTACAAATTGGGCCATGTTTCTAGATACTGAGTCTGACTGAAAGTGTCTATATTTTTACTGAAAATATCGATTCGCCTGTTAGATATCTTATCGAAAAGTAAAAGGACATATTTCGTGGCACTAAAAATCGATTTCTGAAGCTAGCTAATTCTCTAACATTTAGTGTAGGTTTTATTATAGTTTGGTGCCGCTCATTAGTCACATTTACTARATCACATTTCCTGGGTATATCATGATGTATCAAGGTGTGAGTTACCTTTCCGAAACTAAAGTAATAAATCCACACTTCTCTTAGCCCCATTTTGCGAATAATTATGATTTTCGTCTTTCAGTTTGATCGCTTATTATGGTAAATATTTTCGATAGTTTAATAATATTAAGTGAGTCTTGATCTAGCCCCATAAATCATATTATTTCCATCGCAATATAATAAACTTCAAGTAATTTGTTGAGTTTATTTGGTATATGTGGAGATTTTTGRTAAACGTACTGTTGCTTTGTGTAATGATCGATACCAAATTTCGTGAATATATCTCCTCAGATAAAACAAATTGTCTTATAGGTACAAGTATTCGATCAGTGTGTATGACAGCTAACGGTATAAAGATCCCTCAGCTCATGGTACTTGCTCTCTTCTTTCTCTTAATTTCAGTAGAAAACGCTCTGTTGCACTCAAGCTTAGCGCTTCTTTCCATGTCGAAATCGTAATCGTTTTTCTTGTTTGGCTGCYCATTTCATAAAATTTTACAATTTACACACTTTCAAAACAAGTGTTAACCAAAAAGCCCAAACCGAAATTACTATCATTTTCACCACAACAAAATTAATAAAAAAAATCAATAAATTCTGTAAAAAAAAAAAAAAATCCCTCAGCATCTCGGAGTCCATACACAAAATAAAAGCCATCACTGAGCCGATATTAATACAAGAAAGTRGCAACTCTTTATCCG